TCATTACAGGCTGTGAAGAAACTACCAGAAAAAAAGAACTGAAAGACCAGAGAAAGGGAAAAGAGAGAACATGGTTGCACAGCAGACAGACAGAAGTTGGACCAGCAGAAGTCTGTCTGAATCCTTGCTGCCCAATGGAACTTGCCACAACGACATCAAGGGTTGCCATGCCGTCCAATACAGTAGCCACTAGCTGTATGTGGCTACTGAACACTTGAGATGCAACCAGTACAACTGAGGAACTGAATTTTAAATTTTAACTAATATACATTTAAATCACTACATGTGACCACTGGCTATGGAACTGAACAGTGCAGCTCTACACTAAAGGAACAGATATGAGGCTGAAGACCCATCAGCCCTGGGCAGGGCGCTTGAGTTGGTCATCCAAACAGTCTCATGTAGGCAGGAGGGCTGCCATGCTGAGAGGCAGGGGGCAGGGTAGGACCCTTGAGGGAAAAGGTTTGGAAGGGAGATAAAGGAAAAGATAGGAAAGAGCTGACCAGAACAACGAAAAGCAAAACACAGCAGGACTGAGGGCCCAGCTGAGACTGGAGACAGTATATGGCAGGCAGTCTAGGAACAAATAAGGCAAGGGGCTGGCTTGATAAAAGGTTGGGAGCTGAATGTCAGAGGTGCTAACAAGAGACTGTGGAAATAAAACATGGCGCCATGGACAGGTAAGGAGGCAAAGCCATGTGCTCAGAAGAAAAGGAAGGGGGCAAGAGATCAAGGCCTCAATTGGGTCAAACAAGGGTAAATGAGTGAGAGAGAGAGAGAGAGCACGCAGGAGAGGATAGATGGTTTAGGACCCAAGGGGATGGAGTAGTTCTAGGTAATGTAAGGGCTTGGGGCAAGTCCTGATTGGCTTAAAAGAAGCAGGCAACAAGAACATAGAAGTAAGTTTGGATGGTTGTTCTGGTGATTATTCGGAAAACCCATGATGGTGGCAGGGACCACCAATGAAAGAACATGAGCCAAGTACAAAGCCCTCAACAAATCAGAAAATCAGTAAGCATGCTATACTGACACACAAGAAGAAATCCCCTAAGAATAAGAATTTTTAGGACAGAGTTTCTGCAGAATCCTGCACCAAACCAGAGAGAGAAAGGGAGGGCAAGTGTGGGAAATGTAATCTCAAATGTGGCTTATTAGGAAGTCCTGAAGAAGGACTTTCTGGGAAAAGCAGAGAGACAGGAGGGCTGACCACAAAAGTTAAGAGCAAAACCAGCCACATCCCTGTCACACACAATGCCATCGGCCTGTGGGTCCCAAATCCACAGTCCAGCCGCCCTCCTGCCCAAGTCAGCACGCATGGCCTGCCACCTGCTCAACGCCAAATCAACACGTCTTGACCTCAGACTGACAAGGACTCAAACTGACACTCTTTCCCTCAAATTCCAGCCCCTGTGCTCAAGTTTGTGCACAAAAATGGGCATAATTATAACAGCAGAATGAAGCAACCCAAATAGTGACCCTAATTCTGTGGAATATGAATAAAAGGAATGTGCTAGGCTGAGAGTATCTCCAACAAGCGCATCAAAGAACAATACATACAGTATGATTCTGGTTCCTAAAACAGACAAATCTAGAAAAAATAAAACAAGAAGAAATCAAAGAGGGAGACAAACATAAGAGACTCTTAATCATAGGAAACAAACTGAGGTTCGCTGGAGGGGAGGAGGGTGGGAGGATGGGGTAACTGGGTGATGGGCATGAAGGAGGGCATGTGATGTAGTGAGCACTGGGTGTTGTATGCAACCAATGAACCACTGAACTCTACCTCTGAAACTAATAATACACTATATGTTAATTAATTGAATTTAAATTAAAAAAAGGAACCACCCCCCCCCAAAAAAAGAAGAAAGAGGAGGGCTGTCTGCAAAGATGATTATCTCCCAACAAGGAGGGGTCATGTTGGTACCATAAACAACCTGCCCTTTCTGTGAGTTTCTCTATCTAGCTTCCCTAGGACTTCTGTTGTGCTTCACTTTTCTCCAAAGAGGCAGAGGAAGTAACCGCATTTTGGGCTATTACTATTATAAAATCAGGTCACAATTTTTGCAGCTATTAAATGCATTTGCATTATTGAAAGAGATACTTCATTTTCCACTTGTGCAGGAGTTATTTTGGAGTTATCTAGCTATTAAATTTCATAAGGTTAAATTTCCCCATATGTACACAGGGGGTTCAGTATCATCCATACTGTAAAGCTGTGTCACATTCTCGTATCCAGGTCTTTCTCATCCTCATTTTATATGTTAACACTTATTCTCATTATTTCTCTCCCTCTCCGTCTTTCGTTTTATGACTTGCAAAAACTAGAAACTTAAAATTTCTCCCCTCTCCTATAGTGCCAATAATGCCCACATGCATGGATGCACGCGCGCGCGCGCGCACACACACACACACACACACACACACACACATACACGCACGCATTCACCTCTCCATTGTCACAGAGAGACATTTTCCAGGCACTGTTTTCACAACTATCACAAAATGGTTAAACGTAAGATTGAACAGTGGCCTAATTTATTATTTTATCATAAATATTTCTATTTTCTCAAGGATATTAATATTATCTGTTTAGCTGTTTTAGATATGGCCATTCACTCTTAATAATAATTGGTATCAAATTCCTTAAAACTGTATTATTTGCTTCTTTCAAGAACTTATACTCCCCCCTGTGGCAATCTGATGGAAAAAAAAAACAGAAAATGCAATTCTAAGGACAGAATCACAAAATTCATAAATCATTCACAAGTGACATAACAATGGTATGTGCCTTGCTAGAAAAAAGCTGTCAAGAGAAAGTCACAACATTCTTTTCATCCTGTGTAATCTGCATAATACATGACCCCAAAACCTACTGGGCTAAGGGCTAATTTTTGGCAAATGCTAAGGCAGAAATTTAGGATCTGAAAATATTTAGATATGAGCTAAAAGGAAAGTTTTATTTTACTTTAGCAAACATTTTTTGAGTGCTTACTCTGTGACAAGCACTGTGCTGGGTGCTTTCCAAGATTTTTGATATTTAATCCTTACAAATTATCCCATCAATCCTATGAGGTGGGTTTTGCTAGTATCTCCAAATTGAAAGGAGCCAACTGAGGCTTAAATTAAGTAATGTGCCTGATGGATGTCACACATTTAATAAAAACAGCTAAATAATGAAACAAAGAAGAAGAAAGAAAGAAACTCTCTCCTGAAATAGTCAAAAAGAGAAATACAAAATCCAGCAAATTCTATGTTCAGGTCAATTCTATGTTACTGTTAATAGAACATTTGAAATCAAGACAACAAAAAGTTGGTCTAGCTAAATCCAAAACAAGTTTTGGATTTATGAAATACCTTAAGTATTTCATAAATACTTAGTTTTATGAAATGTTAGTTTTAGTTTTATGGAATACTAGTTTTATGAAATACTTTAAACTACAGAATTAACTTACTTTAATAAAATTTCATTCTAGAATATCAAACTCAAACTGTTGAAAATCTCATTGATTAAATATGAATCAAGCTTATTTTGTCAGGCTTTATTCTTGAGATCTTAAAAAGGTAAACATCTAATTTTTTTTAAAATGATCTATCATCAGTGTCTTTTTTCACCTTTGCTTTTCCAGGCCCAGCCCGATTGCGTATTGGACTGTGTGGTAACACAGTATTCCCCTACCACCACCTCTGCCAGGAAAGATGAGAAATCCCCAGCAAAGTGACCCTCAGCAGTGCTTCTCTAAAAGGATGCCCACTGATGCACCTGTCAATGCATTTGGGACGCTGGTGCTGCCTTGGGTCACCTCAGATTAGTCTAACCGTCTACTTACTGTAGACAAAGTAGGTTCCAGATTGCCCTTGGTACTTGACATAAAGTCATTTTCTCTTCTTAAAAAGCTGGATGTGATGCATGAGAAATATAGAAGTTTGAAGTTGCTGAGCCCTCTTCAGATTTAGGCCAGGATTCAGCTGAACGAGGTGAGAACATCAGAGAGGCAGAAGAGGTATCACGATGCTGCCCCCCCCCCCCCCCCCCCCCCCCCACCCCACCCCACCCCCAGCAGCTCCTTCAGAAGCTAGCTGGGAAAAAATCTGCTTGACTGGTAAGGGAGAGGCCTGCCTGGAAAGTAGTCAAAGCCAACAGGGGATACTTTGGCCATGGCAGTGCCCAGCTCTACTGCAAAGTAAAATTGGTTCAAAGTCTAGCTGAAGCTGGACCGGAAGTTTGCTTGCTCACCTACAGAGCTGAAAACACACAGAGTCTCGAGAATCAACCATATATGGAAATGGCAGGGCAAAACACATGAGCAAGAAGAATAAACAGAGAGCGGTTAGAAAATGATGTAAATCACCGCAAAAGATTCATTTGGACAAAATCAACTTTCATCATCTCTATGTGAGAAATAGCTTAATGGTGAAATATTTCCAGACATTAGAAAGTCTATGGTTATATGAAACTTTTTTCCTATAGTTGCTAATTTTCACATACATGCATGGGTCAATAAGAAAAGTCCCTCATTATAAACCTGCCATTCCTGGATAACACTCTTAACCGCTGCTCTGTGTAGTTATGACATAGATCTCATTCCGTTAACAACATGAAATTAGGCATGATTCAAATCACATTATTTCACTGTGAAAGGAGAGAAGGGAAAAGCTGTGAGCCTGAAATACAAACTGTATTCAGTTTAAGGAAAGTGCATTTTCACTGAAGAGGAAGTTCACAAAATAAGCATTATGTTAACAGCATGCTAGACCATGTCTATTAAGGGATACTTGGGAAGAATCGATGTTTAGGAAGGATGTTGCTTCAATGCCAACGGCCTGAGGCTCTATCGCGATATTTAATCGCCAGGGTTGCTCATCAGTGAATGATGCAATTATTCAAGAAGACTTTCATGATGCCTGTGGTTGGTCTGAGACTCAGTCTAAACAAGACTGCACTGAGTTAGAGACTGAACATTTTCAGTGTGGGCTGAAGTTGATGTCACACTGGTACATACCTTGATATTAAGCCTTCCAAAGCATACCCATCATCTTGGTTCATTTTTCCTTTTTCAGCTACATCAGTTCATCAGCAGATCGCAAGCAACCCATCTGTCTATACAGCAAAATCACAAAAATTTTAACTGCCAAAAAAAAAAAAAATCCTTTGTCTAAGTCCAAAGTTCTCTCCTCATGCAGATCATAATCATTATCTTTCTACTTCATGCTTATCTCAGACCACAGCATGATACTGACTGGGCCAATTAGCCCACAGTGTTTTATTTTATATGTGTACTTTAGGATGCTTCTAGGGTGTGTACTTTAAGAGTTTAAGAAAATTGGAGTAACTACCTTAAGAACATACAGCATTCAGAGATCACTGTACCGAGAATGTGACGAAAAGAAGCAGTAGAGTTTGGAAGAAGAGTCAAGGGTGTGCCCTTCACAAGAACTGAATTCAGATTTACATGTCCCCTCTCCACCTCTGACCAAGCTTGTGTTACATCACATAGCCTCTCTGGACCTTGATTTTCTCACCTGCAAAGTGGGGAGAATAATACCTCACAGAGTTGCTAGGAAGCTCAAGTGACACAGTGTATGTGAGAAGGTTTTTAAACTTAAAATCTCTACATAAACAGAAGGTGATACAGCCGTACAGGGCATCCATTTCAGGCACCCAGACAAAGCTCTGAGTAGCATTCTTGTTAAATTGATCTGACAAAATTGGCATTGTACATTCCACTGTCAAATTAAACAATGCATTAGTTCACTTTTACTCCAACTCTGATGATGTCAAGAGCTTAGAGTGTGCTTTTCTTCATTTGTGGTGTAAGCTCTCACTTAGAAGGTAAGACATTTTCTCAGAAAGCTTTATCGATGTGTTCAGATTTTCATATATGATTCCCAAAGGCATAGTTGTTTAAAAAATTCACACATAGGAAAACATCTTAGAAACTCTTTGGACAATTTGAACAACTTAGTATTCAGCATTCTAGAATGTACTGGCTACCAGTTTCCATTTAATTTGAAAACTTGCTTGTCAATATCATGGTGCCATAGTTCACATTTCAAAATGAAATGAAAGAAAAATGTCAATTCAAATATATGTAGAGTGTAAAAATGTCTGTGGCATTATGTTAAGCAAAACAATACCATCTTGGTTTCTGAGAAACAAATAATCTAAAGAAAACATCATGGACACAGGCACTAATAAATGTTTGGTTCTTTAATATCTACACACTGTATTCTTACCTAAGGATTAGTGGTAGCTTATATGTTTTCACTGAAGAAAGGACTATTTGAACCTCCTTTCCCCCATGAAAAAAAATGGAATGAAAATGATAAAATGGAAATGAAGGGATCAGATGCCATCATGTGACTAAAATAGGCTGAGTGTAGAATTTCTTTTCATGTATCCTGAAAACTATGATTAAAAGAAAAACATTGTGATATCTCTCCCATACAGATGACATGCAAGAGCATAAGACAAATAAAAAAAGTTTCCTTTGCGAAGTATCTCTGTCAATTCTGAGCATCCAATCGGAAAAATAAATAAGTAGGATTTGATTTTGTGTAAGCTCTTAACAAAGATCTTTAAAATCCTTGCAAAATTGAATGGTGTTATAAAGTCAGACTGTGATGGGCTTTTACAATCAAGGCTGAGTTGGGCTTAGTCTTAAAGGCAAGGAAGAACCATTGAAAAACAGAAGAAATTGGTAAATTTAAAATCTTAATACATTACGTAAAAGTACTTTCATAAATATGGTGTCCTGGGGCTGAAAAATAACCTTGAGCAAGCGGGAAATTTGGGCTCTGAGAGGAATGGTACCTTCCCTGAGCTTATATGGCAGGCAGACGACGACAGGTACGGAGCTCCTATCTCCAGCCCTCTAGCCAGTCCTCTGGCCCTACCCAGTGGTTTTTGAATGTACTCCAGGGAGGGAGGTCTGGCTGGCTCGGTTGGAAGAGCATGCGACTCATGATCTCGGGGTTGTGAGTTCGAGCACCATGCTGGGTGTAGAGATTACTTAAATAAATAAATAATTTAAAAAAAAAAAAAAAGAAAGAAAACACATATCCAGGAAGCCCTGAAGTTGTGAGAAGGGCTCAGGCTTGTTGGTAGGAGGTGGGAACACATTTCAAAGGGTGAGCTGATGGGGCCTTAGTTTGCCCCACCTCCCCGAACCTCAGTAGAATCTCTAGGGACACATTTACATCACATGTCTATTTTACACTTGTCCTTTCAAAAATTTATCCTTTCCCTTTCTCCCATTCTTTGAAATAGTTATCTAGTCTGAATGGTCTGTTTTTCCTAAACCTATTGATTTGGTTTCCCCAAATCACACATTTGAAAGAAAGGTTACCTCCCTTCTTTTTCATTCTCTCTTACCACCTCAAGGATCACCAAAGAGACTCTTCCCATTTGGGCTGATAAAACTAAGGGCTGTAAGGACTTGGGGTTGCTAAACTAGTAAATTCGAGTCGCTAATATGTCAGGAAAAGTACTGGAAACCCATCTCTACCCGTAGTAGCATCCACGTTCTCCAGCACCATCTCAGATTAATGCGAGCAGACTAGAGGCAGCACAGGATTTTAATTAAACTAATAACGTGGGCGCCTGGGTGGCTCAGTTGGTTAAGCGACTGCCTTCGGCTCAGGTCATGATCCTGGAGTCCCGGGATCGAGTCCCGCATCGGGCTCCCTGCTCAACAGGGAGTCTGCTTCTCCCTCTGACCCTCCCCCCATCTCATGTGCTTTCTCTCTCATTCTCTCTGTCTCTCAAATAAATAAATAAAATCTTTTAAAAAAATAAATAAATAAATAAATAAACTAATAACGTAAGTGAGACAAGTAGTAAACTGAAGAAAATGTCATTAAAAAAGAAATTCCTTTCCTTTCTCACTCTAACCTTCAACTGCATCTACAAGCAAGTAAATGAACAGGCAAACATTAAACACAGACTGCATGGAACAGCCTTGACTACCTTCTGGACCAACACCTTTGCATCAGAAAATATCCCAAGAAAGTCCGAGGACTAATTATAAGGAGGAAAGAGCAGGGAGGAAATGAATGTAATTTAGATAGTAAACATCCGCACTTCTTTCCCACTTCTGAAGTCCCAGGGAGTACGCTCTCTCTTTAACCTTCATCTTAAGCAAATATAAGGCAATGCAAACCAAGCCAGGGTCTCTGAAGATTTTAGGATAATATTTATAACAATTTTTCCAAAAGCTGTCTGGCATATCATTTTTTGGAGTGGAATTCCTTGACCTAATTGAATTTGAGGCGTGCTAGAAACATCCGAAGCCCACTCCCAACCCACCATAACAACAAACTGCTCCCTGTCCAGATGCCCTTATACGGCCAGACTTCCTATAAATCTGACAGCTCAGTGTATGCATTGCGTATGGGTCTTGGCACTGAGTCACATTCCTCGGGGATGTTTCCCTGGGAGCTCTGATTTCCGCTTTGAGGGCTGGCACAGACTCCTACTTGCTCTTATAAGAAAATGTCTATGACTGAAAGTTGAAAATGTGCAAGATTCCTTCTTTAAGTACACAAACACTCTAAAGTCTGGCCACTTTCCTGTCGTCCTGCCAGGTTTTCTCTATGTCTGATACCTGATCAAATAACCTTTTTTTTAGGGGGGGAAACAACAAGAAACATGAGAAGGAATGTAGTACATCCACAGCTGAACATCTTACAAGACTTCACCAAGCGACCTGTACAGTGGTGCCTGAGTAGACACACGCATACCTTATATAGCTCCGCAAACAGGACTCAGTGGCCAACTTCATGAATTCCTCATTTAAAAAAAAAAAAAAAGCCCTCTAAAAAAGCACTTGCTAGATAAACACTCGCTTACAAGACAAAATTAGTGCATCTTAACCATTTTGCACACAAATTCAAAGACCTTTCTCTCCCAGTTCTAACCTGCCGTCAGTCAAAAGCATTGGGATAAGCCAGAGTTGGACAAAGTTATAAGAAGCCACTATTTCCACTTTACCGCCCAGGTGCACACAAACATTTGCTGAGTCATTTATAATAGTGCAAGAATTCAGATCCCATGGCATGTGTTAAGGATGGAGCGTCAGCCTCTCCCTTTGAATTTCCTGGCACTTGATGGCCCCCGGAACACAATATAAACATACTTTTGAGTCTGTGAATATCTTGGGTGTCTTCTCATTCTCTCTCTGTCTCTCTTTGCGTGTGTGTGTCTCTCTGTGTCTCTGTCTCTCTCTTTCTGTCACTTTCTTAATAATGATCTTTCATTTTAAACTCTTCAAAGGAATTTTGATCACAAAGCCTCAACCTAACCTTCTAACGCACAACACGGTTTTTCTATTCTGAGATTCCATGTTCTATATATTTCAGTATATTTTCTCTTAGCCAATATTAAAATCATCCATTTGGAGCCTAACTATGGACTTTTTTGAGACTTCAAGGGACCATGTGAATTTTATAGTAAAACCAAATTCTTTTTATAATATGTCTTGCTATTTTTAACAACCCAGCAGAATGGTAGTATCCAGGCTACATTTGTGGAGAAAAAGAAAATCAAGAAAGACGGGGGGTCAGCCATCAACTCCTAAGAATTTTAATCCAATTAACCATCATTAAATCCTGGGAAATAAAACATTCTCATTATCATCATCCTAATAATGTCAACTTAGAAATATGGCTCTTACTTCCCTAAGATTTGTGAATGGCAGTTCTAAGAATATAAACCAGGTCACCTAACTGGAAGCCAGTCCAGCAATTTATCCCTTCCATGAATGAAAGTCTCCACTCTGCTGTACGTGAGGCTATTTATTGGTGGTGGCTCTCAGACTCTCCAGGGCATTCAAAAATTCTCAACCATTCTCCCATCTACCTCACCCCTGCAAGCCACGAGAGATCACCACCGAGCCCACATCCCACCTTAGGTGAGGCTCCAGCTTCACATCCCTACCCTTCCCCATCTACCCCACCTTCCCAACCATTAGTGGTAGACATAATTCGGGGTTTAGGTCTTGAAAGATTTCACTGTGGCTTCCCACATATTTTGGACTTTTAACATCATCCACTAGGGAAGAAAAAGTTGGGGGCCAAGTTGCCTTTAATACACATGTGGCTATTAACATAACTTGGAATGTTCCGTCTTTAAATAGGAACTTTTAGGCCTCTTCTCTTTGAGGAATGCTTGGAAAGAACACTAAATAACAATGTTGAAAATTCCTCCTGAGCTTCAGAGCCCCCCTCCTTGCTGGCCACTTACGCTGTGGACAGGCAACTACACTGTACAACATGGGCATTGCTTAGGGAGGTAATTGTGTACAGATGATGTGGTCGATGCTGAAGCTGGAGTGGTTCTTCTCTTCTTGGCTCTTTTTCAATAGAACGAATTGAAACATAAAAATGCCGCCAGTTTAAACAGGCTGTTTTCAAATTATAAATCTGTAGTGTTGCTTCTGAATGCTCATCTTTGCCTCATAAACAGGTGTCTTTATCTTAAACCTATCTAGTGAAACATCAACAACTGAAATGAATTTACTTACTGGTAACACCAGTGTCAAATGACGTGGCAACACAATAGAAAAAAAAAATGCCAGGGCCCTGGAATCATTCTGTTTACATAAAATGGTAACTGGAATTATTAACAACAACAACAACAACAACAACAAGCAGTTAAACAATAGATTCTAAATGAAGGCATGCTAAATTAATTCTTTAATGAAGCTAACTAGCAATATTAAGAAATGGAAATGTGCTTAGACTTTATTGGCCATATTTGACTTCTGTGCACAAGCAGAGAGAATAAAACCTGTTGTTTCCTTGACCTGATCTTACTCCACCAGGCTGTAGTCTCCTTGGATATAAAGAGGTCACAATCACTATTCATAGAAGTGTGGAGAGTTGTTACTAAACTATATTATTCACTGACACTCTCAGTTTACAACCAGAAATAATAGGGTACACTGTTCTTGTTATATTATCAGATTTTTTACTGCAAGACAAACCAAGTCCAATCCACATTTGAAGATTATAGGTTTTAGTATAAAAAAAAAAATCACTCATTTCTCAAAGACCCAAACTGTATTTAGAACACCTCAAGTAAACCCCAAGCTTCTTGCTGGCTCTCCTGTCTGATCCCCTCTCTTCCCAACACCCAGAACCTCTACCTACTCAACACATAATCATTTGCTCTGACATAACAACAGACCCACTTTTCTGGAAATACTGATGTGCATTCATCTCTTTTCTCCCTCCCTATACCCCCAACAATAAAACTGTTACATATATTAAGAGAACACAAAGCAAGAGTGCTGGAAATCTCCCCCAGAAAACAGCATCCATAGTCTTGACCCCTGGCTTTGTTCTCTTTCTTGTCACTCAGTAGGCATCCAAACCGTTATCTCAAGTGAGAAAAGATCAAATTCCTACATCTTCAACATGGAATGTGGACTTTGCAGGTAGGCTTCTTGGGAATTTCAGCTGGTCAAAAGCAACTAACTCCTTCTCAGCTCTCTGAAGAGTGTCAAAGGCAGAGAGCCTCTAAAATTAAAATATTATAAAAATAATAAAAAGAAACCCTTCCGAATTTTTTAGGGATCCCTGCTGTTAGCCTCTTTGGCTACCTACCTCCTAAAAAGCATTTATGTCAGTGGGTAGAGCGGGAACAGCTATTAGAAACAGAAGGGAGTGGTATAAAAAAAATAATAGTAATTACCGATGTGTTTTTCAATGATATAAATCAGGAGTGGTGCGAAGAAGCAAGAGGGAAAAAATCCTATTTGGTGCTGGAAATACTGAGCCTTTTTTTTTTTTTTTTTTTTTTTTTTTTTTTTTTTGGTTAGCTGGAGTGTGCCAGCTTTTTCAGACGGGAGGAATGCTGAGTGTCAAGGGGTCAGGATCAATCCGGTGTGAGTTGATGAGGCAGGAAGGTGGGGAGGAATGCGAGGAATGTCCCTGTTTGTGTAGGACTCCATTCAGCTCATTGGCGAGCCGGGGTTGCCCGGAGCGTATAAAAGCCGCCGGCCGCCCGCCTCAGCCTCACACAACAACTCTTCCCGCTGAGAGGAGGCAGCCAGTGCAACTCCAACCCCGCGACCGACCGCCTCCCCGCACCCCGACGGCAGCCGCCCCGGCCGACAGCTCCCAGACCTCAGCTCGGAGCACCCGGGCACCCACCTCCGGCCCGAGCCCGCGACCCAGCGCCGGGACCGCCGCGCCCACCCCGCCGCCGCCGCCCGCCGCCCGCCCCGCCCGCAGCGCCCACCATGTCCGCCGCCGGCCTGGGCCTGGGCCCCGTTCGCTGCGCCTTCGTGCTCCTGTTCGCCCTCTGCGGCCGGGTAAGCCCAGAGCCCCGCGGCGGCCGGCGCCGGGGGGAGGGCGTGCGGGCGGGGCAGGGCCCGGGGCGCCGAGCGGCGTGCGCCTGCTCACCGCCCCCTCCTCCCCGCAGCCCGCCGCCGGCCAGGACTGCGGCGGCCCGTGCCAGTGTGCAGCCGCGCCGGCGCCCAGGTGCCCGGCCGGCGTCAGCCTCGTGCTGGACGGCTGCGGCTGCTGCCGCGTGTGCGCCAAGCAACTGGGCGAGCTGTGCACCGAGCGCGACCCCTGCGACCCGCACAAGGGACTCTTCTGCGACTTCGGCTCTCCCGCCAACCGCAAGATCGGCGTGTGCACCGGTAAGAGCTGCGGCCCGCCTGCGGGCCCTGGTGTCCCGGCCGCCGGCGCCCCCCCCCACCCCCCCGGAGCCCTGTTCCCCGCGCATCCCCGACTCGCTTACTGCTACCGATGCCTGACCCTTGCATCCCCCCGCCCCCCTTGTTCCCTTCTCTCCTTCAGCTAAAGATGGTGCCCCCTGCGTCTTCGGAGGAACGGTGTACCGGAGCGGAGAGTCCTTCCAGAGCAGCTGCAAGTACCAGTGCACTTGCCTGGACGGGGCGGTGGGCTGCGTGCCCCTGTGCAGCATGGACGTCCGCCTGCCCAGCCCTGACTGCCCTTTCCCGCGGAGGGTCAAGCTGCCCGGGAAATGCTGCGAGGAGTGGGTGTGCGACGAGCCCAAGGACCACACCGTGGTTGGCCCTGCCCTTGCCGGTGAGTTGAAAAGGCCTCAAAGTCAGTGTTGTGATCCTGCCCCCCAGGGGCTGACTCCTAACTTTGCCAAGGGAGGGGGGAAATGTCTTGTCCTGGCGTCTTACCTTGTGTTTGTGTGCTCTGCTCTCACAGCTTACCGACTGGAAGACACGTTTGGCCCAGACCCAACTATGATCCGGGCCAACTGCCTGGTCCAGACCACAGAGTGGAGTGCCTGTTCCAAGACCTGTGGAATGGGCATCTCCACCCGGGTTACCAATGACAACGCCTTCTGCAGGCTGGAGAAGCAGAGCCGCCTCTGCATGGTCAGGCCTTGCGAAGCTGACCTGGAAGAGAACATCAAGGTACATTTTCTGCTCCTATTAACTAGTTTTCCTGGAATCATAATGGATAGGATCAAAGTTGGGTCTCACCGCCCTGGTTATTATAGACCTTTTATCTCCAAAAATATCTAACCATCACGTTGTTTTGCTGGAATGAGATGTTGTGTAATAGGAACCCCCAGCTTTCCACTATGAAATTCTCCACCCTGTTAGTTAATTCAAGACATCCCAAGAGAGGCTATGTCTATTTTTGGGAAACTGGCAAATGAGACTCAAACTTCCTCTCCTCAAAATATAAACAAAAGTCAGACAACTTAAGACTAAAACACACAGAGCTTGAAGAAAGCCACTCCCCTTAATAGGGTCATTGATTTTTTTTTTCCCCCTTCGGTTTTGTCTTCCTTAGAAGGGCAAAAAGTGCATCCGTACCCCCAAAATCACCAAGCCTGTCAAGTTTGAGCTTTCTGGCTGTACCAGCGTGAAGTCCTACCGTGCTAAGTTCTGTGGCGTGTGCACGGATGGCCGGTGCTGCACCCCACACAGAACCACCACTCTTCCTGTGGAGTTCAAGTGCCCCGACGGGGAGATCATGAAGAAGAGTATGATGTTCATCAAGACCTGTGCCTGCCATTACAACTGTCCCGGAGACAATGACATCTTTGAGTCCCTGTACTACAGGAAGATGTATGGAGACATGGCGTAAAGCCAGGGAGTGTGAGAGACATTAACTCATTAGGCTATAACTTGAACTGATTCACATCTCATTTTTGTGTAAACATGATTTCAGTAGTGCAAGTTATTTAAATCTGTTTTTCTAACTGGGGGGAAGAAAAAGTCCCACCAAATTCAAAAGATTGTGCCATGTGACCTTCAAATAGTCTATCAACCCAGACACTGGTTTGAAGAAAGTTAAGACTTGACAGCGGGACTACGTTAGCACATAGCACCAGAATGTATACTGAGGTGTGGCTTTGGGAGCAGTGGGAGGGCACCTGCAGAAACGATTGTCATCTTAAAGTAGTATGTGCCTGCTCTTTGGAGTGTAATTGAAAAGGAAAACTTTAGCAAGCTCACTGACCTCCAGCGACAGCTAGGATGCACGTTCTCCAGCCTTCCTGAGGCTGGGTCAAGTTCTTCTTTAAGTCAGAACAGCAGATTCAGCTCTGACATTCTGATTTGAATGATACTGTTCAGGAATCAGAATCCTGTCTATTAGACTGGACAGCTTGTGGCAAGCGAATTTGCCTGTAACAAGCCAGAATTTTTTTTATTGATACTGTAAATATTGTGTGTGTATATATATATATATATATTTGTACAGTTATCTAAGTTAATTTAAAGTTGTTTGTGCCTTTTCGTTTGTTTTTAATGCTTTGATATTTCAAATGTTAGCCTCAATTCTGAACACCATAGGTAGGACGTAAAGCTTGTCTGATAATTCAAAGCATGAAATGGATATTCAAATGGAAATTCTGCTCATCAAAACAGATTGTTTACTGAATATGAGGCAATGATGTCCTTGGAAGTCTGATCTGTCAGTTTGAAATGTGGTAGCCTCACTATTAATGAACAAATGGCCTTTATGAAAACACGAGTGGCTCTGTATAGCTGATCAGTTTTTCCACCTGGAAGCATTTGTTTCTACTTTGACTATGACTGTTTTTTGGACAGTTTACTTGTTGAGAATGTGACCAAAAGTTACATGTTTGCACCTTTCTAGTTGAAAATAAAGTATATATTTTTTCTATAAAAAGTGTGATTATTCACTTACTCTTCTAAGTATTTGTTGTCTTGAGTATATAGGGGAGGCTTTTATTTGTCTTAAAACAATTCATCTATAATTTTTTAAATCTCATATATACTGTTAAATTGGTTAATCAGTTCAATAGAATTTTACATAAACCTATTTCACACTGAATCAAGTGTCACAAACTTGCAGGCATACATTGTGTGTGTGTGTGTATATATGTATATATATATATAATTTTGTGTGTGTGTGTGTGTGTGTGTGTGTGTGTGTGTGTGTACAGAGTACAGGGCATTTTTTGTTACCTTCACAGTACTTCATAGACATTGAAATTCAATTCTCTTTGGATAACTATTCTCCAACAACCCCTATTGGTTACACTTGGTCTTGTTTACATTTAATACCTGTGGCCATTGCAGGCATTTAATTTACAACCTTTCACATCACAAACTAGTCTGTGTGCCTTATTCATTGGAAAGGTTTTAACTATTTTTTGAGTTTGTATGCTCTACTACAGATCTATTTCTGAACTTTAATAATTTCACTGTTAAATCTGCAAAGTAAAATCTGCATTTAAATGGAACCATTTGATAAGTTGCGTTTTTGTATAATTCTGTTTTCAGTTGCCATGATAACCAATCACAAATAGATGATGGCCTAAGTAGAAAAGGAGCATAATTTCTATTAACATTAGTAGAAATTTGTCTTAAAAGCAACATCTCCATTGCCCCAAGCTTTGGACTATCAGACTTCCAAGATCAATAGCTTACCAAGTAGTTGGTAAGTGACAAAATGAAATTGTTCAAGAAGCCTGGAAATGATACTGGACCTAGCCAGGCCTCTTCCAAAAAGTCAACTGAAGTAAGTGGCAAACAAAAATATTCCAAAGACAACTGAAAGCACAGTTTTCTCCAGATCAGTATAGCTGTGGATTATGGCGGGGTGGGGGGAGTTGCAGACAAACTAACCCATCACAGGGTAATTAGCAATGTTGTAGTGCCAGTGTCATTCCAAGAGACAAAAATACATCTGAAAATAAAGACTAGTTCTACAAACAGTGTCCATGCCACAAACCAAAGGGAAAACTTCCTGTGTTCAAAATGTGCAAAGTATTTCTGGTCGAAACATTGGACTTTTAGGATACACCCACATTCGTATATAGCAACATTGTTGGCAGCTATACGCCACTTCCCCAAATAAACCCACATGTACACACACACGCACACACACACACATTGCCTAGTCCACATGTTCTTTCTGTCAATATACTTCTAGATGCAAAGATGAAGGGCCATGATAAATGAGCCTGAGTGTTTTATATTTTTTTAAAGATTTTATTTATTTGAGAGAGAGAGAACACAAGCAGAGGGAAGGGCGGAGGGAGAGGGAGAAGCAGACTCCTGGCTGAGCAGGGAGCCCGACACTACGGGGCTCAATACCAGGACCCTGAGATCATGGCCCAAGCCAAAGGCAGATGCTCAACTGACTAAGCCACCCATCCACCTCGAGCCTGAGTGTTTTAAAAAGAATTTGAGAATTCTGGGAAGATAGAAGTAGTAACAGAAGCATAGATTTTAGATTTTTCAATTTTCCACATAAAAACAGAGTAACTATATTGCAACATCAAAATCCCATGAACAATATTTACAACAAAATTAGGTGGCAAGGCATCCTTTTAATCCCAAAACGTTAGGGGGAGAAAATCATCAAACGCCACAAGATGTGCACTGTGTCAGCATATGTGTGGGAACAAAGAGATGCAACAGGATATCTGATACTTCTGAGAAGAGAGCTCCAAAGCAGCCAACAGTGAAGTGTGGGAGACCAATTTGAGGGTAGGGGTTCTGCCCAGTCAAATAAATCTTACAAACCAGAGTTCTCTCCCACGGGAGCATTCCATGCTCGTGGGAATGGAATCGAAATTGAGCAGATCAGGGACAACAAAGACATTGAAAGAAAAGGTCTAAGTGAAAATGAGGAGAGAAACAAAGGTTCATAATGTAAGGAAGTAAAGCCGCCATATTTATAAAATCACATGAAAACAATAAAAGAGGGATACCTGTGAAGTTCGAAACCAAGCGTCCTTACAGAACAAAGTTCAAGAAAACTAATTTCATGTAAAAAATAGGAAAACAAAACTATCAAAGCCAATTCCCATACATTATTATATGAAAATA